CCCCAAAACCCCAAAACCCCAAAACCCCAAAACCCCACCGATGAACGACTAGGTTGAAACGTTGAGTTTAAAATTTATCGGTATCTTGTACAAAATGAAGCTTCAAAGATTCTTCATTTTGAGTAGTAAATTGTGAGTTTAACTTAGATTTTGGCAATAGATGGGACAATGGAGTTTCCCTCTTGCAAACTAAGAAACTTTTTCTTTAGTTCTCTGTTCAGTGGAACCCTAAACGCCATTGGTTTGTCAAATTTGTCTTCATAAGCTCTATTCAAAAACTTGGTAAAAGTCTTCATCACTTCTCCAACAAAGCGAGGCATATTGTGGCCTTTCTCATGCAGAATGACTGTTGTTTGAGACTTCTTACAGATCGCCAGGTCTCTGTAGTATGTAAAGGGGTCGGCCTTTCCGTAGATGTACATCACAGGACAGGGGTAGTCGCCTTCATTCTTGCCTTCAAATACATGACCATGTTGAACTGGAGAAGCAATCAAAATTGCGAATCTGGGTGAAATTTGGCAGTGCGGGATGCCTCACTCTGTGGCTTTGAGCATCGTTCTGATGACGTAGCCGCCTTGAGAGAACCCGATGAACCCATCGAATGGTCCATGGGTAGCTCAGTACTCTTTGACATACTCACAGCTCTCAACAAGACCATCAAAGTTGTGCTTTTCGGTATCTTTATTGACCCAGGCAAAAAAGGGTCCACCAAACTTGTTTTTGATTTGCTCGTCAAAGATAGCGCTGGCGTCGTAGGGAGCATCCAGGTAGTGAAATTCGATGAACTCACCAAAAATGTATTCATAGTAGGCCATTTGGTACTTCATGACATCCTTGTTATTGTAAAACCCGTGCAAGCAGAGCACTTTAAGCTTGTTGTGCAGATTTGGCATCAGGGGTTTAAGAGTAAAATTAATGTATGAAATAAAGGTTTTCATCAGTTGTTAAGTAACACTTTTGTACGTCAATATTTGGTTGGCTCCTGGGGTTTTGGGGTTTTGGGGTTTTGGGGTTTTGGGGTTTTGGGGTTTTGGGG